CAGATAAGCGTTGGGGTTTTATAAATCTTGCATTGACCATAGAGATTCACGTGCTCACTGCTTTTACATTCAATGGCCACCAAACAATGGCTACAGCACATTGCCTTCACCTGAGCAATTTACCTACCACGCATATTGAATGATAAGTCATTTCTTGAGCGCGTTCCAGTTTCTGAAGATTAACTCGCTCGAAACGCATCAACTAAGAATTGCTGAATGGAACTGTCTCAAAGGGGAACATATGCGAGACCTCGCAACAATTTCTACAACTAACAGTTGTTTCCCCCAGCAGCATCTATGTACCTTATAGCGGTATGAATTAAATACCTGAAGGAAGCAAGCTGTTCGAGATCTTAAATAGTCATTTGGTCTGGGATTTCACTTTTTCAGTTCTACTTTTTTAGTTTTCTATTTCTGCTGAAGTGTTATCTAAATTCGACTTCAGTACGTTCTCTATGAGATCCTACTCCTTCCCCTCTGAACGATTTCCTTGTATGCTTTCGAGTATAAGGTGCTGGATGACGTTGTCTGTAGTCTACGGCGTGGCTGGCTCGGCACTGTGAAGGTAGCAATGTGCTGGGTGTTACATAGCCATCATTTGTCCGAGTCAGGTCTAACAGCTTGATTACTGTAAGGAAAGACCGTATTCTCTTACAGGCATTTTTTGGGGTCGCTATAATGGTCATTTAATCTTGAAAATGGTTCATTGGTGAAAAGGCTCGAAATTTTCGATCACTTGCCCAAAAAAAGTTGTATGAACTATGATTTTATAAAGGGGTGGTCTAGTGAGTAGGCAAAGTTACATATAGAGTTGAGGCAGGGCAATTTTGCTTTGGGCAATGATGGAAATGTTCATTTCTGCAGACGGTTCGATTAATCCCTTCCTTGATTGTATGTGTGACGATTGTGGTTCTTTTATAATACTGGACGAATGAAGTTGTGAAATGAGTGTCAATCGACTTACAATTGCGGATAATATGTGTCCAGACACATGCCTCTTTGGAATGTTATCATCACGTGAATATCACTGAGATCGTTGAAATCAAAAACGTGTGCAGATCTGCCATCGAACAATTTCAAAGGAGATACACTTATATTATTTGCTGGAATATACCTGAAAATTGTGAGTACCTTATAGTAGCTCAGAACTTCAGACTTTTTACCAGACATCTTTTTTCGTACTCATGATACCTCCCTTTCTCTGAATTGTATTGAAAACATTTGAATTGTATGAGCACATCTGGAGGAGTGCATCCCGGATCTTACTCATGTTTGATGCATACATTTTTTCCCAGACTTTTTTTATGAGTATCTCAATAGTGAACCATAGAGGTTTGTACCATCAATATGCACAACTCGATAGCAACGCTCAGGCAGTTTGTCGAATTCATCCTCCCAGAAGGGGGCTGGGACTTGAAGAAGCTGTCGGGCGCCCTTCTGACCTCATCCTCTGTGTCGAACGTGCGCGACATGTGGCCTTCAAGTGCAGGGTGGGCAAGTGATAGCCAGCGTTATGTGAAACACTTGCATCAACTCGATATGACAGAAGACAGCCTAGTTTTTCACCTCAATTTCAATATCTAAAGACAGCATGACGCACTGCTTGCGCTTTTGAAGCGAAATTTACGCATGTATGCATATATAGTCTCAAGTATATTGAGTAACTCGTAGGCAGGAAAATGAGTGATGGGGCCATCCGGCAAAATCAGGGCGGCATTCTCCCCGTATTCCCACGGTGTACGGTGATAGCCCCTCAGCGGCTACTGAATCTTTCGTGGTGAGAATTCAAATCTCCCCCTTCGTAGTGCACTTCTGCGCACAATTGGGTAGGGCAAGCACGACCCCTTCATGGTGGAACAGTACCAACGAACAGGGCACGAGGAGGAGTACGATATGTCAAGTGGATGCGGTCAGAAAGGTACTATGAAATAGGAAGTCTACTGGTACTCTTTATACCTAATCCCCTGGCCACTACGGATCATTTTGTGACGACATCGAGTAGGGACCTTTGTGGCAGGTTGGAACTTCTGTGGTCGCTTTGGAAAGGAGAGAAGATGGTTTGGGAGACTAAGTCGGCATCAGCTACCATCAGCCATCATCAAACACCAGCTGACTGTTCCATTACACCTCTGACATAGGCGAGTTGTGAATAAACTGATCGATTCTGTGAGGGGTGAGGATGTGCCTCTCCTCACTAAGTCGTGTTTTACACGAATTTCTACAACGAGAGGCTCTCATCCCGGTGCATTCACCGTAATTTTCTACTCGAAACAGGTCACCCCTTCACAGAACTTAGTTTGGAAAATAACGGGATCCCGCGCAAGGTCGTCGAAGATTGGCTCTTGATGCTCGAGCCGAACAATTAAAGCACGTGAGACGCTCAACCCGTGCAGAAAATTGGAAAGGAGGAAGAAGCGTCGTGTAAGAGAGCGCAGACAAGGCAATGAATATGTGCTATTGCTTTTCGTGTTCAAATTTGAACGCTTCGATTAAGGAGCACAGGAGTTATTGATTTCCAGCCAAACCACACACACACACTGAGGCGTGTCCGGTTTCTAAAAGTTCTGGTTTATGTAACAATAATATTTGCTTCCTTTTAGGATTTAGTATTTCATCACATGATCTAATGCAAAGCTCCGTTGCTCTTCAGTCATGCCGGAGATTACCTTGATCGACTTGCCGCTTTGCGTGCGAAGCTGTGGTTATGTGGATGTGCGAGGTATTGTAGGGATGGCGGTCCCTTTGCTTGAGTCCCCCTTGTCCGAGGTCGCGGTCGAATTCGCTCTTCACGCGTTAAGTTGCGCACAGCAAGTCCCGGTACGTTACGTCTGATTCATCGCGTTCTGGGTTTAGGACCAGGACTCGCTCGGGGAAATATCCGTCTATCAAAGGGGAGACGTCCTGTCATCCTGCCACATGCTTTCGTCACTTCCATTAGATGTCGGCTTGTATGGTCCGAAAACTCGCCTAAATTTCCTACTGGTCGATTCTCGAAGATCGAAAATGAGCATGGGAGCCTTCATCATTTTTCAATTACTATATATATATATATATATATA